CTTAGACGGGGCGGGGACTTGCCCCGTTTCCTGCCCCATTTGTTTTTTTTTAACTACAAATTCAAAATTTTAAAATCCAAAACAAATAATGTTCAAACTAATTATATTTATATTCAAAGTAAGCACTTGAAACAAAAAAATATCCAAAACAATTTTTTTTTTTAATTCTTCACGAGGCGGGTTCGGGGCGGGCCGCGACCCGCGACGGGGCGACGAACCTTGCCCCGCCCCGCCAACCCGTTCGGGGCAGGTTTTTTTGCCCCATTCGGGGCGAGGCCCCACAGGGACGGGGCAGGAAAAATTTCCATCTCTATTATCGATCGCCACTATCACCCAATAAAGAAAGAATGAGAGTGCAACGGATTTCTTTTCTTCATATTTGAAAATCGAAACTGATTTTGAAATCAAATTTGATTTTGAGGTTTTGTTATTGTTGTGGTGTAAGTGGTGATTTTAGTGAATGAAAGAGGTGATGGTGGTGAGGAAAAGTGAATGCAATAGCGGAGGTGGCAATTAGATGGTGACGGTGGCGTGAATGTTCACTACACAACTTGTTCACCTTGTATATTTATATCCACAAACGGAATTTTTATGTCAAAAGTTGAACCTTATAGTGTGGACAATTAGGTTGTGGATTTGAGGTGGAGATGTTGTTATGGAGTGAAGGAGGTGGAGTCGTCGAAGGTGGAGGTGGCGTCAGCGTTGGGTGGATACTGTGTCTGAAAAACCATAAAATTATAGCTTCAAGAAAACCCTCATTATTGTCTTCCGAAAAAAAATGATTGTAACGGGGCTTCAAACAATTCCAGGAGGCCCAAATCAAGAATTGTTTCTTCAAGATCCATGTCTCCTTCAACTTCCACTTCCACTTCCACTTCCACTTGCACGTCCACTTCATATTCCTCCTCAGTTTCTTCATCTTCTTTTGGAAGGTATCCCTCTTATTTAGTTTCAAGAAACTTGACCATTATGTCAAAGATTCCTTCTTTAGGTTTTGGGTGGGGGTGCGAGGGGTTAGTGGAGAAGAAGATGAATATTATTTATGTTTTTTTTATTTAATTATGCATAGATTATGCTCCTGTTTGGTGTACATTTTGTAGCCAAGAATGCATTTTTTTATGTGATGGGGAATATGTGGTTGCAAAAAAATGAAAAATTATTGATGTGATAAAAAATATTATTTTATTGAAAAATGTGTGGTTGAAAATGAGTATAAAAAAAATAATGTGGACAAAAATTAAGCTATGAGAGGAGGGTTTTATAAATTAACATTGACTTCCAAATTCATGGTCAGTAGACAATATTACCGTCATATATAGGGTTTATTAAATATTACTTGTTTCCAAGAAAAGAGAGAAAAAAATCATGATAGTCCGTTATGAAAGTTTNACTTCAACTGCGACATTTTGAACGGTTTGCCACCGTGGGTGGCATAAATGAAGGGTTTGTTTAAAATCAGCTGCTAAATGAAAGATTTGATATAGTGGTTGCAATTTTCTCGTAGAATTATTATCCTCGCATGTTGTCAAATTATAAACGAACAATTTAAATTTTATAAAATATGAAAAAATTGTTAAATATTATTAGTTGGATAAGTTTCATTCATGATAACTATATTTCCGTTCTAATGTTAATTAGGTAATTGTACTTCAACTTTGTTCAATTGAATAATTACACATTAATTTAATTTCAATAGAGATATCTTCATCAAATTTCACATACGCAAATTAATATTGTGAGGTCTATAGTCGATGACCATTACACATAACTACTAGATGATGGAAGTCCTTAAAGATTTACAATCATATATTTTGATCAAGTTTAAATTATTTCAAGTCGGCAACTACTAGTTTTGTATGATGATTATAATTTATTCATCGTCACATCATCAATTTCAGTAATTAGAATAGAAAAGAATTCCTTGATTGAAATCAAATTAAAGAAAACTTACATGATTGAACGAAATCGAAATACAATTATCTAGTTCATAATCGAATGAAAGTATAATTACTACGAATATTAAATATTATCTATCGTCTCTACCCTTAAGATATATAATTCATTTTTTAAGCAAGTAATGATATTTATCCATGTGTGATGATCACAATGTGACGTAAAAATTAAATGATAAGAATAAAACCAACATTTCATATTCGTACATTTAATTAAGGGTAATCAGCACATAACGTCCCCACCTTTTATTGTTATTGTGAAAAATGTTAATACCTTTTTTTTTTTTTTGGCATTTTCATCCATATTTCCTTCCTTCATTCATTTTCTCAATTAAAAATTATAAAAATGACGAAAATACCATTTCTTTTAAATAAAACAAAAGAAAAAAGAAAAAAACTAATTGCAAACATAGTCCTAATTTTTGATAGCACAAACCATCATTTCTATTCATTTTCTCAATAAAGTACTGTGAAATAATGAACAAACACTCATATTTAAATAAAAAATATTTTTTAAATTTCCATAATTTTTTGGGACTCTTTTGCACTTTTTCATTTTTTTTATTTTTAAAATTTTTAAATAAATTTAATTGGGACTCGTTTGCACTTTTCATAAAAAATTAATTTTTTAAAATAATTTATTGGAGACTCGTTTTTAATTTTTAAAAAAATTGGGACAATTATAGAAGTTAATTCTTTAGCTTTTTTATTTAAATATGAGGGTATATTCATCATCCCAATGTTTTTTATTCAGAAATTGGATGAAAATAGATAGAAATGATGGTTTGCTCTATCAAATTATAATTAAGGGAGAAAATATCAAAAAAATAAAAGGCATGAATGTTTTTCGCAATAATAGTGAAAGGTAGGGACATTATGTGCTCATTACCATTTTAGTAATTTATTTAGGACTCATTTACACTTTTCAAAAAAGTTGGGACTATCTTTGCAATTAACTTTTTCTTTTTTCCTTTTGTTTTATTCAATGAGAATGTAATTTTCGTTATTTCACAATTTTTGATTGAGAAAATGGATAAAAATAACCTTTTGCATAATGAAATGTGAAAATAAGCGTGAAAATGCCAAAAAATTAAGGATATGGACTTTTTCACAATAATAGTGAAATGTGGAGACGTTATATGCTAATTACTCTTTAATTAACTTTATCATTTCTTATTAATGCTATTTTCTTTATTCCCACGTGAAAAAATAATAATAATAAAATATTTTCTGACGTGGAAACGTGGCGCAAAGAGAGTTGTAAATGCTGATTGGCTGAGAGAAGGGTGGTGGCTTTCTGCCCAACATACGCCACTGCCACCACCGATATTACATCTAAATTAATCGTTTCTATAATTAATTACCAGATAATCCAATCCAAATCACATCAGATATCATTGTCCTGTATACGAGTTATAAATTAATTTAATTTAATTCAAGGAAATCAAATTAAGCTTCGGCCATGGCTATTTATTAATAATTTATAAATTTGTTGGTGGCTAAATTTTGACAAATTTATATTTATATAATCCCAAATCTATATATGCACTAGTACGCTTTTGGATGTGGATAAACATATGCAGAAGAACCTCTACCTCCTCAAAATGTTATAAAAAACGACGCTGCTTAGTGGTTTTTGTAATTCATTTTGCCAGTTTATGCATACATATGAAAAATCTCGATTCTTTTTTAGAGTTCTGAAATCTTCATTTATTGAGGAAAATTTTCACATTACGCAAATTATTGTTCTCTAGCATTGTTTGGTGTCCGAAATTGGAAAATCCTTTGGATCTGAATCGTTTAGGATTTATATTTGTAAATTTAAATGGTTATGGAAGACAACGAGAGTTGTAGTAGTAGCGTGATGGAATCGGCGGCCAGTGGGAAAATCCGGCAGCAGAGGAAGAAGGTGGAGGTTTACAATGAGGTTTTGCGGCGGCTCAAGGAATCAAGCCATCCGGAGGCTCAGGGGCCTGCGTTTGACGATCAACTCTGGGCGCACTTCAATCGACTCCCTGCCAGGTAACCTTTACCTTTCTGTTCCTACATTATCTTTGCCTTCCGTACAGTCACAGTTTTACTTGTTATGGTTATCCAGACATTGGTTAGTATGTATTGCCGATGATTTATTAGGATGGTTTTCTTCAATGTGGATATAGATTTCTGGTTTTGATTTTATGCTTTTATTCTTGTTTGTTTAGTTCTAGACATTCTTGTTAGTATAATTTTGTCTTATGATGTAAAATCTATCCTATTGTTACATAGTGGAAGGGAGCTAATCAATCTCATTATTATCGTTGTCGTTGGGCCTTGCATGCTGGAATAAAATTTCGCTCTCCCTACCTATACTTTCCTGCATGCAAAATGGTATGTAGTCATAAAAAGATTGATGCTTTCCATGTTCCGCTTTGAAGGTATGCAATGGATGTGAATGTGGAAAGGGCGGAAGATGTTCTTGTGCACAAGAGGTTACTGTACCTGGCACATGATCCTGCTAAAAGGCCTGCATTTGAAGTCCGACTTGTGCAGGTGAGTTGATTTTATAGGGTTACCACTTACCAGTTCTTAATGCATTTAATTTATTCGTTTTTGTTCTCCTTTCGTAACTGGTTTACTCTGTTTTAGTATTTAGTGCAGCTTCTTGACGTACGGTTTTGACCTTTTATAGTTTGTTAATTGTTCAAGGCGCAAGGTGTTGTGCTATATGAATTGACCTTCTGCTAACAAATACGCGTTTTAAATAGATTAGATGAAAGCAAATGATGTTACTGCTCATACCTTTAACTGTTTTCCAAGCAAAAATTGCACTTTCTGCTGACTTTAGGTCTGCTCATGGTTTAGTTGAGCATGTTCAGATAAAATCATAAGCTATATTTATCCAGTACATTTTCTATTATATTTACTCTTTTTTTGTGTTCCTGTTAGAGATTTGATTATGATAATTTGGTGTTCTCCTATGGAATTCCATCAAAATGAAACAATAAATTTTTATCCGTTCACTTTCCCGGCATGGTTCTGCAACTTCATCTTACATAGTGTATATCATTATTGGTTGGATTATATAATCTGGCATTGGGCAGGTTGCACCTATCTCTGATGGGACTTCAACAGATACAGTCCAGTCACGCTTACCTCGAAACGCAAGGTATTCACATTCATGTTTTGTTTGAAAATAATTTTGAATGACATGCTTGCTGAGGTTTTTTCTAACATGTTTCCAATATGTCATAAAGGCTGTTTATCATGGAAATTTATTGATGCTTTTCCTTTAGTATATATCACACAAATATTATTTTTAATTTTCAGTGCTGAAATCTTCACCTTATATTTTATATGTCAGCATCCATCCACCTCCTGCATTTGGTTCTTCTCCCAATCTTGAAGCACTTGCTCTCGAAGCAAGCATATCAGAAGTGCAAGATGGAGACAGCTCTGTAAATGCTGGTACCAAACTTTCCCGGTATATTCCGTGATGTACTCTTGATGTTGCTTTTGCTTAACATATCACAATCACTACTGCATCCTTGGCACCTTCTAGAAATAAGACATCAATGGGCATGCACATTGCATGCTTAAATTTATGAGATGATTCAGATGTAATGTTTTATGAAAAAAATGTTCTAGTTATTTTTTCCGAGTCACTTGAAATATTTGTGATACTACCCGCATTGTGTTATGATCCGATACCAATGTATAGTTCATTCTTTCAATTCTTAGTTGTCACTGTGAGACAGTTGAAATAGTGCCCATTTTCAAAATGCATCTCTCTCTCTTATTTTCAACTACACATTCTTCAATAAAATGATATTACACGCAAATCCAAAACCTTTTCTTATTTTTTAATTACACATTCTCCATCAAAATACTATTTCAAAATGCATTTTCATAAAAAAAGATGGGCTCAAGCAGGCTCATTATATGCTGTCGTAATCTTTAGAGCAAAACTCCTCCTTGCTTTCTGCCTCCTAAACTCCAGGCACCCGATCTCTCTCATACACGTGCTCTATGCAGAGGAAGCCTTAATGGATATGTGATTTAAGTGGTAAAACCAAGTCCAGAAGATTTGCATTTGCTGCATTTTGGTTGAAGCCTGTGGGATACTCAATTTATCAAATAGTCGCATCATATCATGAAAGCATATTAGCATACTTTAACATTATGTATTCTTTAGCTTACATTTTCGAATTGATGATTATGTAGGCCTATGCATGAAATTACTTTCTCAACAGACGACAAGCCAAAGCTCCTCAATCAGGTCATTAATCTGCTTACTTCATCTAATACATTATTTGATGATTAATTTGCTTACATGTCCTAATACTCTACTTCTTCTAACTGATGATTATGTAATCCTTGCTTGTATGAGATGTCGAAATGTTTTATAATATTTGATTTCTCTTACTCCTTTATCAAAGTTAAATTAACAATAGGTGTCTAATAAATAATGAATCAGAATATAGAGTTTGTGTATTTCAATTATATGAAATATTTTACACTGTAAGAAGTTCAATTTTAGAAGAAAGGCTATTATAACTGAGTACCATCTATATATAGACAGTGAACTTAATGGTCTACAAAATTTTCATAGCATATTATAGTAAAAAAGTTTTAAAACGTAATTTGTTTGTAAATTTTCTGAGAAGAGTACAATGTGACAAAAGGCATAGTTTATCCCTGCTCTGGTTCTCAAATATAAGCATAATGTTTTTTAGTAAATGCCACTTCTTTCAGAAATATATGACATTGTAAGCCTAAGCAGTTGTTAATACATGTCCTTGGGTTGTGTGGGGATTTATGTATATGTTCACCATGCTTACATATTTTGCTTGTCAATATCTGTTGAAGAGCACGTTTGACCCTGGACTGAACTGTTTAACTGGACCTTGCAGCTGACTTCTTTACTGGCCGAAGTTGGGTTGAACATTCAGGAAGCACATGCCTTTTCCACCGTGGATGGCTATTCTCTTGATGTCTTTGTTGTCAATGGTTGGCCATATGAGGTATTTCCATTCTTAGTTTTTATTAAGATCATGGCTGGAGTGCTTTGTTCATTCAGAAACTACAACCTTCTTCAGTTGTGATGCAGTATGTCTAGAAGTTAAAATTCTATTTTATGTTCGTAAAGTATATATATTCTCTTGTGACACTTTGTGCTTCTGTCTTATTTTAGTGAAACTTTATGCTTCTCTTTTCGAAATTTAGTTCTTTCCTTTACAGATTTCTAATTTTCTTTTGTTTCCTGAAATCATATAATTTTTTTTCCACTTTATTTATGCAATTGTCGTAGATAAGTCAAAGGCAATAAACATTTTAAAGCTCATCTTATATAAATAATTAAATAGGAGAATGGATTGATGATAGACAAAAGTCGTATTTCCAAGTGAAACTACAGTGCTGTGTACAATTATTTCTTTAATAATAAGCGAGCATGTTGTCGTTTTATGTATTTCATGCCATGGTTTAGATAACGGTGGCCCCATCATTTTATCAGCTCGATGATGTAGATGGATCTCCTAAAGCTCATTCGTTGAGCCTCCACCATCATTTCATTTTAAAAATGGAATAGCAAACTGGAAGGTCTTTGTTCATTTGCTTCTCTGAAGTAAATAACAAGAGTTTTGACTGACCCTCTTCTATAACTTTTCAGGAGGTTGAGCAGCTCCGAGATGCAGTAGAAAAAGAAGTATTGAAGGCCAAGGTATTTTCTGCTATTCTTAATTAAAATGTTATTACTTTGCAATGGTGATTTGATTCCTGGATCTATTTTATTTTTATCCTGCAGTAGTGAGCTTATTGTGGCTAATGCTTGAAATTTATGTTAGTATGTAATTCTAAGAATGTATTCTGAATTTATTTGTATTGTACTGACTTCCATAGTCCAGTATGTGTATCTTTTAGAAGCTCTACTGGCTATTAATGACAATCCATTATATAATGCTAAGCAAAATTGGTGCGATGCCACTTTAGTATGATAGGGTTAAGGATAATGAAGTCACTGTACACAATCATGTTGTCCCCAAAACCGATTCTTTTAGGTATTTAGGTTTGATCATTACCAATGAAGGAGGAATTAAGAAAGTTTTGATAATTTTATATCTACTCTCACACTTCCCCATAGTGATTAATATATTGTCTTGTATGTAACATTTCTGCAACTTAACAATGTCATTTGTGCTGAAATGAGCATTCTAGTAATTACATTATAATTTTAAGGAAAATAAAAGTATGATGTTACTCAATTCTTATTTAGTGTTTTTGTACGGCTTTGTAGTTCAGATATTCTTTCTTTGAGTTCTGGATTATCAGGTGTATATAATTCCTAATGCAAATCAATAGTCTACATCTGTGAAGGATATTTTGTATGTAATGCAGGGACACTCTTGGCCACAACAGCATTCTGTCTCGCCTCTTGGTGAGCATGAACAAATAGAGATCAAATCTGAACCTGATCATTTGACAATACCTAGTGATGGCACTGATGTATGGGAAATTGATCCTCAAGTTTTAAAATTTGAGAAGAAAGTAGCCTCAGGATCCTATGGTGATTTGTAAGTTTTTACACATGTGCAACTGAATATGCTTGTAGTTGAGTGTTCAGTTAACTGAAAATTCTGTTGTTGCAGATACAAAGGTATGTACCGTAGTCAAGAAGTGGCTATTAAAATTCTTAAAACTGAGTGTTTGAATTCAGAATTGCAGAAAGAGTTTGCCCAAGAAGTATATATAATGAGGTCTGTCACGTCAATTTCTTGACCCAGTTCAGTTCCATCTGTTTGTGCCTATGATGCTCGGACTCTTCGAAATAGTTGGAGTACTCGTGTCGGATACGACACGACATGGGTATGAGTATGGAATATGTGTCGGATCCTCCAAGTTTCATCCGGACACTTCGTTGTTTTTGCTTCTTCTTCCTTCTTTTTCTTCTTTCTTCTTTTTTTTCTTTCCCACTTTTGCTCTCTCTAAGCCTAGCGTTGTCACTGAGAGGGTGAAGAAAGACGGCGACGCTAGATTTTCCCTTCTTTTTCTTCTTCTTTCTTTCCATTTTCTTCTTTTTTTTTCCCTTCTTTCTCTCTCTATAGGTGGTGTAGGGTTTTATTTGTATAAAATGAAAATGGGTTCTATATAGTGCTACTTAGTACTCCACTAAGTCCAAATTACAATCTAGTTCCTCATTTTCTATTTTATATAAAATTTAGTAATTCTCATTATTGAAAACTAAACCCCCAAAATTCTATTTTATTTGTCTTAATCCTTTATTAAATACTCATTTTCTTCATTGTGAATAATTAATTTTGGTCTATTCAAAATGACATCTTGGATTAGTAAAAAAATTGAAGTTTGAAAGATGTACCCACGTACCCGTGTCCAAAATTTGGACTCTTTTTAGCCATGTCCCCATATCCTACATTTTAAAAAATAAAAGATCCGAAACTTAGATACGTACCCGTACCCGATACCCGTTCCCAACTCCGAGCATCATAGGTTTGCGCTGTAATTCTCCTGTCACTGACCTTGATATTGGCGTATTTTCATTGATTAGTGTTTGTTACTTGCAGAAAAGTTCGCCACAAAAATGTCGTGCAGTTCATAGGGGCTTGCACACGACCTCCAAACTTGTGCATAGTAACTGGTATGTCTTAATGGTACCCATGTTCTGGTAAAATTTATTTGGACAAGACTGCTTACAAATTGAAACTACGTATTCTTATTTCCCTTTGCCAGAAGAACATTTGTTCTACTTTACCCATTTCTTTTGTTACAGAATATATGTCTGGAGGAAGTGTTTATGACTATCTACACAAACAAAAGGGTACTTTTAAATTTCCGTCTTTGCTCAAAGTAGCAATTGATGTATCGAAGGGAATGAATTATTTGCATCAGAATAATATAATACACAGAGACTTGAAGGCTGCCAATCTTTTGATGGATGAAAACGAGGTAAGATATTGTCATTAAGTGCTGCAAACATGTAAATTTTCTCTAAACTTTATTGCTCCACGCCGTTAAGCTGTTTATTATGATAATTGTTGATTTCATTTCTGATCCATCCGAAAAATAACCAAACTATTATACAAATCTATTTTTTGTGTAAATGATTAGCAGCTCCCATTTGATCTCCTCTTTTGTTTCGAATTTTGAGAAGAAAAATTGATGGCTATCATTCTTGTGATAGGAATGAAGACCGATTTGTTCATTTGACACAAATTGTTAGATCGTTCTATTCTAGTCTGACAGTCAATTTGCCAGTTTCTATGCTATAATAATCAGTTTTATTCATTTTACATGCATTACTAAGATTATAGAATGTGGTGAAATCTTTATATTGTAGCTTAAGAAAGTTTTGAACATTTCACCTGAAGTTTTCTTTACAGGTTGTTAAAGTGGCTGATTTTGGGGTGGCAAGAGTGAAAGCGCAAACTGGAGTTATGACAGCTGAAACCGGGACATATCGATGGATGGCCCCTGAGGTTTTATTTCATTGAAATAAAACCTTATATTTCTTTAATCTATACATGTTTATTGCAGATTATAGTTTGAATAGGCCACATTTATTTTTGTCTCTAGGGGTATTGGTAGGAGATTTATAATTATGATTCATTCAATCATTCTGATGATTTACTATGGCAGTTCCTCATTAGCTGTTTAAAAATTCATCTTGGAAAATTTCAAGTGTAATTATAATTTACTGAAATGATGTTTAAGTTTTAACCAGCAGAACAATATTTGTGCTTCTTAGAAGCTTACTACTGACATCATCATTTATACTTTTTGAGTTCAAAAAATTTGAATAAACTATAATCTGAAGGCAAGGAAGAGACATGGATTCATTAGTTTTCACTGATTCTTTATGTTTCCACCTTTGTACATTTTTGTGTTTTCCTTAATAATTTAGTTTGGTGAGAATTCATTTGGTTAATTTATATCTGCAATGTTAATTCTTCCAGCATTTGCTAATGGAAGCCTGTTCTCTTTGAAGGTTATAGAACATAAACCCTATGATCACACGGCAGATGTCTTCAGTTTTGGGGTTGTATTATGGGAATTGCTGACTGGAAAGGTAATTTTTGTTGTATAAAATTTTGGCATTTTTTTTTTTTACTTTTAGTTGAACTCTCTGATATTCCGCAGCTTCCATACGAGTACTTAACCCCCTTACAAGCGGCTGTTGGGGTGGTGCAAAAGGTAAATTATCCAGTCTTATATGTGATTGCTCATTGGATATCAGTGTGGCTACTAGTTTAAAAGTGCAGCTTGTGTCAGAGTGCAACCCAAGGACCTTTTTGACTTGTTTTCAGGGCCTGCGGCCAACTGTTCCAAAGAACACTCATCCAATGTTTGCTGAGCTACTCGAGAGATGCTGGAAGCAAGACCCAACATTGAGGCCTGACTTTTCTGAAATAACAGAAATCTTGCAGCAAATAGCAAAGGAGGTATTATATCCATTTAATGCCAGCTTAATATCGTCTGTCTATAATATTAATTAATTTAGCTTGCAGTTAAGCTATGCTTGCTTAACCAAAACTTGTAGACTCTATGAAGAACAGCATGATTAACCAACTGTATTCCCATACTAACCCCCAAAATGTCTCCCACCTCCTCCAATCTTGATTATATAACCTTAATTTTCTCCGAGAACCATTGCAAATCATCCTTGATGCAATTATTGCTCATGTTCTCTGAGAGACTTGAAAGAAATATTTGTTTTTGCTGTTATAACACATTCTGCATTATTTTTATTTTTTGCTTGACCAGCAGTTTGACGAGAAAACACAGCATGGCTTGATTAATCAACTCTATTAGTTATCTGGCCTTCGTCCCCCAAACCAACCTACTGGCATGTTAACATGGATTAAATTGCAGTGGGCTACAATATAAAAGTAGAAGAACATAAAATCTTGTCGGCTGTACTCTCCAGTATAGTCGAATACTACATACAAAAACATGCAATGCTTGTTTTCACTTTGCTCTCGTGTTTTTCCTAGAAGTGTTGCAAAGCCATCTCTAATGCAATGATTACCCAGAGATTGAAGAAAACATTCAAGTAAAATTTTCAATTTGCTATTTATTTCGTGGCATGTATAATTTTCAGGTTGGAGACGATGCAGAGGATAGACGCAAGGAGAAATCATCTGGAGGATTTTTTTCGGGCCTAAGATGTGGACATCACTAATTCGTGAACATCTAACTTGTATCTGTTTTTGGTTCATTTACACTCTTAGTTCTGTCTGCATTATATAGTATATATAAAAGGAAAAACGTTAATAATTATTTATTTATTTATTTGGGAGTGACAATATTCCTTGTTTAACTCAATTCTGGAGGTGGGGAAGAAGTCGATGATTTTGATTTTTATTTTGATCTATTCAATAGAAATTTGTGTATCCGTAACTGAATGTTAGTTTTCATTAGGAGAGTTTGAAGTAATACAAAAATTGAAAGTACGGCAAAGCTAGTGCAAGTTTCAGATCATAAGTTGCGTAGTAAACTGAAAGGAAATGTTATCTATGAATGATATATGGAAATAGAATTGGAGAATGCTTTTACTTTTTTTATAGTTTTTAGGGGTTGAAGGCACATCTGCAACAAAACACGTAGCTTTGGGTAAAATTTTGCATTGTTAAGAAATTAGCGAGCATAAATCAACCACAAATCAAAAAGAGTTGCAGTACTTCAGAATTAGGGTTTAACATTCTCTGGTTTTATAATTTTTAAGTCATATTGTCCGACCTTTATGAAAAATCACCAAAAGGAAAAGGAAATTGACAAAGCGTGCCTTGTGTATTAGCAAGCATTTACTATTGGGCATGACATGAATAGCGAACCTTTCGAACCTAGTACACATAGCGGCCGCATCATCTATTCCTCTTAACAAGTAAAACGACGATGTTTTGAACTCTGATTTCGCCACGTCCTCACCAATTTCCTTCACGCCTATGTTGTCCCTTCTTCCTCCGGTACCCACTTCCTCTACAAATATACATGTTCACATATTTATATGAGAAATGATTTAATGAATATTGGTGCTCATTTTTTCATAAATGCATGTTACGTGTTATATTAATTCATTGTTAGGTAACAAATTTAATTCAAATGAGACCCAACAAAACTTTATTAATCAGTAGATTGGTACAAAATATAACTGGTGCTTTGCGTAAGATGAGCACTAATATATTTTGCAAGTTTGTTATAGCAAAAGAGAGATGTGATTGCAGTACGAAACTTTTTCCACACGCTACCAAGAATTTTCCGGGCCTTTTCACAAAAAGTCTAGCGCAGTGCTTCCTGCTTTCGGTCGCATTTTGCCCTTTTTTGCATGGAACTAAAGAAATTCTCCTTGAAACTAGATCTGAGTGGGTAAGATGCATTGATTTTTTACTCCTTCAGAGGAAAAGCTTGTGAGACAGGCATTCTGTGCCCAGATTAGTTTCTTCCTTCCGAGACAGGCATTCTATATGGGTCAGCTTTTGATAGCTACGTCCATCATAAAGGAGGATTTGAACTACTCGCCAAAGCTCTGCAAATTAGAAATGAATTGTATGATTATCTGCCTATGAGGCTTTCAAGCAGACCGAAAATGGTTAAAGGGTATGCAGCGGGTGCTCTTGGCTATGGAACTGTCTGCTACCTATTGTTCTTCCAGTTGGAAGCGGAATAAGAATTACCCAAAAATTTAAAAAAATAAAAAATCTTTAATTCAATAAACAAAATTGTCTAGATGTTTATAGGTATGTTATACCAAGAATAAAGGGTTCAAATTTTGACCTAAAACTCTAGGATAATTTTTTGGATTGGAACTGAATCACGAACTTTCAACTTTTCGTGTAAGGAGCTTTCAACTTTGAATCATGTTACATGTACTGAATTTTTTTACGGAATCCTTTACCTACTACTCACAATTGGGATGTGGACCATATTGTCAGAATTTTTAAATACAAGCGGGCCCCCCGCATTATGTAAGAGGGGGTAATTCATTATATACAAATCATTATGTACAAATGGATTAACCCTTCAACTTTTAATTCCAATAACTTGATACACCAAACATCCAAATTTTCAATTTGTATTCTCCAAAATGAAGTTTATACTGATGGGTGGACACTTTTTTTCAATTAAATCAAGAAATTCATTCTTAACTAGACTGATGAATAAAGTACGAACATAATTTTTTTTTTTTTCTCTTTTTCTCTCCCCAAATTTGAATACATCTAAATTTGTCCCTAGATATAGAGATGTCATATCTAACTTCGTCAATGTCTAGCTCAAGTGGTAAGAGTGAAGCTTTATTGATGATCTGGATTTGAGCTCTTTTGGAGGGAGGAAAATCCATTGATCCCCCTCAAAAAGGGAAAAAATAAAAACAAAATCACATGTAAACTAAATGGAAATATAAATTTGTATGCATATACGAGTCTACATGATAGATATGCATTGACATTTGTGGACACTAGTGAATCGGAAGAAATCATGTGAAGAAGAATCTTATATTTATAAATGTCAGGTGGTCTAATTCTTCCTGTAAATATGATGTTTATTATGTTGTGTTGGAAAAATGATTACTTTCTGTAGCTCTTCATATTTTGCAGCTGAGGTGAAGTTGCTTCCGGGATATGCTGGCTGGCAGTAGGTAACTTCATCATGCATATCGTTTCTATCTCATTGAGAGGGTTCAAGATGACAGATTTTCCTTGAATAATTTCTTCTTATACTTCAATGGAGAACGTGATAATAGCCGGTAATTTCATTTTTGATTTGGTGATGAGTCAGTATCTTAAGCAATGCCAATATAAGATTTTATCTACGTGGTCATATATAAATTATGCAAATTGAAACTGAGTATTTGTCTACTCTTGCATTGTTGTACACTAGTTTCTTGGGTAAGTTGCTATTTATCATTATGACGATGAAATATCGGTGATGTAACAATCTATGTAGAATAATGAGATTGGACATTTCAATTTTTATGAGAGAGAGCGAAGAGAGAGAGAGAGAAATGTGAGAGAGAATGAATTGCTACATTATCGATGTTTCATCATCGTTATGATAAATAGTATTACTCTTTTGGGCCTTCGAAATCTGGTGAACTTTTGAATTTTGATAGAGTTCAAGGATTTGTGCGCTCTTCTCTGCTTGATAGTTTAAAAATCAAAGTCTTTTGCAAAACAATCGTCTAATATTTTGAGTCACTTATACCTGGTTATATGCTAAAGATTTGAGGTTCTTATTTTTTCATTCTTGTTTGATAATGACAGGAATGGCAAAGAAAGTTTCGTTTTAATTGGGAGGAGCTATAAAACTAGAATACTGGCAAGCACTAGTCATCTGAAACGTTCTACAACGTGACAGGTTTTGATTCTCAGTGTCACGACCCACAAGAGCAACTGACACTAAAAGCATGCTTGGTAGGCAGGAATTGATAGTACTCAACAAATACTAAAATGCTAAACTAGCTAAATCTTGGTAATTATATTGTCTAGTACTCCGTACCAAAATTGCATTAAGAACACCAGAGCTTCGGTTTCTAGCATCTGTGTAGATGCGAAAACAAGAAATGTGGTTAACACATTGCAACATTCTCCGAGGCATCAGTTTTTGCAGAATCATCTGGAGAACCATATTCATTTGGAGGTAATTTGCATAACCATTCCTTGAAAACTTTTCCTTTTGCAATAAGACAACCAATATTCTTCCTATCAACTCTCATTGGACATTTCAGTCGCAGCATCATCTGTTTTGCCAAACCTTTGACAGGGGATTCACCTCTCACAGCACTGTGCTTTCCAGAGCCACACACCACCAGAATTTCAGCCGGAACCACCTGATTTCCAGCAATAAACCTCTGTTGCATCTCATCAAACCATTGTAAGAAAATCAAATATGCACTATTCATATGCATTCCATGCAAATCCAACTTCAACTCTGAAGACTTCCATTCCATTGCCTGATCCAGAACTGATGACTTGACCAATTCCCTCACCAAATCAGCTTCATCATTGTTCAAATTATCCACCAACTCATTGATTGACAATGGAAGAGTTTTCAGGTCTCGCACCATTAAGGTAATTTCTGGGCATGAATTCAAGACAGAATTATAAGTTCTAATCGACAGCGAAATTCCTGAGTTTCTCATTTTCTTTAGCCATGAAACCATGTCCGAAAGCTTGTTGTGAGCTCCAAATGATGAAACTACCATATTACAACAAACTATCTCCAATTCAAACCCTTCATTTTCCATTTGAACTATGCTTCTTTTCATGTCTTCAAAACATCCCAATCTCCCATACCCGTAAATTAGGGACCTAATCTCAAAAAGAGATGGTTTCAGTCCCATGTCTCTCATTTCTTCTATCGAATTCTCAGCTTCATTAAGTAACCCGATTGCACAAAAACCACCAACTATTGATTCGTATCCTCTACGCTTCACGTAGACAGATGATGACTGCAAAATGAGCTGCTTTAATTCTTTGCAAGAATCCATAACCTCTTTCTCTGATTTTTGCTTGGCATGTGAATCCACCAAGTTACAATAGAAGTTACATAATTCTCTTTCCTTGAATTCCAATTTTGTAACTGTTTCAGAAAATAATATTTCTGCCTCATCGAACCTTTCCTGCCTATATAACAAAGCGATCAAGTCTGCCACTAGCTTAGTGTTCCAACTGAACCATGGCTCTTGCCTGATTATAGAGTACAACTGCAAGCACAGGTATAATGTAATAGTATTTGCATAAACTATCAATATAAAAGAAAGAATGGGAAGAAAACTTGTTAGCCATCCAAGTTATCCAACTTACATTTTGATTATGAAGAAATTTTTATTTTGTTCATTGAACTGTCATTTTTTGGATGTCTATCTGTACGGTAAACTAATAAAAATGTTGCAGTGACATGAAAAAATTGTTTGTGTATTATGATTTCAGTCCAATTGGATAAAAAGTGTCGCATGTCTTGTTAGATTAGTAATCTTTTTGAAATGCTCTTTTACAAGGATTGAGTCGTGAGCATTTTCATTAATCTAACAAGTTTTTTTTTTAACGGGATGGGTATAAAATTTGCCGATGTGTGCGAAAATGGTAGGATCTGAAGAGGAAAATCTGAACATATAGATGAGGGAAGGAGAGAGGACTTACAGGGAAGCCGAGAGAGGAGAGGCGGGGGTGGTAAGTGGAGGGCGAGAGGAGATGGGATAGAGTATTGAGAGCCACATGTTTGGAAGATGAGGCTACAAATTTGCGGAGTAAGCCAATGGATGTTGAAGGGTCCTGTGCGGTGGCGATGGAGGAGATAAGGCGGTGGCCATGTTTGGTGAGCTTGCAGAAGACTGGCGTCGCTGACAGTCCAAGGCCACAATCGCCTATCATTGGTCACACATTAGAAAGATGTTTACTGAAACAGACTTTTTAAGAATTTTGTGTGTGAGAGAGTCAATTGTATATAGTTTAAAAGTCCAACAAACTTGCGGAAGCGCTTGTTTGGTTGTTATTTGTGAAATACAGTTTTTTTTTTTTTTTTTAATTACACATTTCTCAATAAAATAATATTACAAGTAAATTCAAAAAAAAAAAAATTTAATCACACATTTTCTATCAAAATATTATTTCAAAATACATTTTGAGCCAAAAGAAAAAAAAAAAGGTTCAAATAGGCTCCAGCCTTATTTGGCGCCTATCTATACGAGATTTTAGCCAAAGATTTTAATTTATTTTGTTTTCGTTATACAGTGATTCATCAGTAAAGGTGACCGCAACAATTGATTGAATTAATTAAAATTATCGATGTGCCACTTAACATTTAGGGACTGTATTCAATTGAGACTTTTAATAACTTTTTGGGATTTTAAAAATTTAGGAATATTGAATGTAGACTTTTGGAGATTCTCTAAAAGTATTAATGTATTCAATTCAAAATTTGTCTCTCATTAATCCCAAAATTTTGGAAGACTTTCATAAAAAAAAAATTAATATGTATTTTTGTCAATATTTATCTTTCATTTTTCCTCCTACGAATATTAGTTATGATTAAAATTTTTTTTTTCTATTGATTATATTAGTTTCTATTTTTCTTTCTCTCTTTTAATGTTTATTTCTATTTTTTATGAAAAAAATTAAATTGTAATATTATAACTTTTTTTTTCTTTTTTTTCATTCATTTTTTTGTGAAAATATCTATTTTTAATTAAATTGTAAAATTTTATATGGACTAATTTATAAGTAAATTTAAGTATATATTTTTTATTTATTCTTTAAAGGTATATTATAATAATAATACAGAATATTAAGCTCATGTTTGACACACATTTTAGGAGTAAAAATGTATTTTTATTGATGTGATGAGAAATATATGGTTGAAAAAGAAGAAAATGTTATTGATATGATAAAAATTTCTATGAAAGTCTATAAAAATTTTAAAATGAAAGTCTATAAAAGTTTACAAAAGACTTTCACTAATTCTACAAATCTCTAAAAAATTCACAAAATCAACAGAAATTATCACTTAAAAAAAGTCCTTAAAAAAGTCTATCAAAGTCTTCAAAAGTATCAATTGAATACACCATATTAAATTTCTTATTCCAGAGATAGGGGCATTTATGATATTTGGTGGTTTGTGCAATCTATAATGACCCCATAAATGGGACCCACCCTTGTGTTTCAAAATGTTGAATAAAATCTTCACAAATTGTAGTCAGGGGCTTGGTAGAGATTAAAATTAGGTTTAGCAAACTTTAATCAAAGATGTGGATGTTATGAAATCTGTGGTTAAAATTAATTGTAGAATTTGATTTAAATTTTAATTAGATTTTTAACGATATCAAACATGAACTAAATAAATGAATGAAATAATTATATAAACTAGATTAATTTTAAATAATTAGTCCTTTTAATTTTACTAAAAGAAAGGTCCATCTTACTTTTTGGAACCCATTTCAACATGTCAAGCCAAGTAATCTGCATAAGTTGAAGAGTATTTAAGGAAATAATCAACAAATGCCGAGCCAAGTACTTAATATAGTTTCTAATTAATGTCAACTTTAATCGATGAAGGAGGAGTTCTATATTAGGAATTTAATATTTATTAATAAAGTAATTATTAAATTAACCAATTTAACTAATTATTTGAAAGCATTATAAAACTCAAGTAATTGGTAAATATTAGTACCTCAAATCCTCCTACCTTTATCCATTTTTGAATATGAATTACTGGTCTTAATTCGTTTAATAATCTCTCTTGAGTATAATTAAATGCATTATCATATGTGAAATTCATATATCTCTATTAAGGATGTAAACACGTAAAGAATTATTAAAATCACAGAAGAATCATAAAGGATCATACAAATCATAGTTAATCACTCGAATCATAAAGATTACGAAGAGATGTTTCACAATGAGATTATTATAGTTGTCATCATTGGAATCTTATAAGGTAACTTCAAAACGAGACAACTTTTTTCCCTTTTATGCAGTGATTAGTGCAATACCTCTTATTAAAGACTCATTCTCAAGAATGGACTCTAACTAATGGTCTTTGCCCAATTTTCATTCTATAAGTTTCAGAAAATACATGCAAAGCTTCACACACGAAATTCACATCCACATCCATGTCTTTCTACAATAGGTCAACCATCTAAACTATCATAAAGTAGGTTAAATGATGGAATTTTAGTTTAGTGGTTGTTTGGATTTAACTTCTAAGGTCACTAATCCAACTTCTATCATTTATGAATCAACTTATTCTTGTCCAACGTTATACTTAATTCAGTGCATTTACGTCACATTTTGCAAGGGTGAGTTTCGAGCATATAATCTAGTCGTAATTCACAACTATTTCATATCTCCATATATATGCATCATTGCCAACAATGCATGCATAAGTTTTTATTATTTTTTTAAATAGCACCCAAATGACACACACAAAAAGACAATTTGAAAATTTATATTTCACCCCCAAATTTAAACTAAATATTGTTCCTAATGTGAAATTAAAGGAAGATAAGGAGAACTTCCCTGAATTGACTGCATTTCCAATAATGTTATGGTGCTATGGTGCCAAATTTGATGGATTATTCGTCTATCTTCCCCACCAAACTTGAGATTTCCTACATAAACAAAAATAAAATAAAAAATAAATTCATTACTAACTAAAATTTGACACTAAATCAAAAAATAAAATGTAGATAGATAGAAAGCTTGGGTTATCTCCCAAATAATGCTTTGTTAACGTCATTAACTTAACATAATCAAAGTGCCTAAGTTATGTCATCTGGTGGCACTTCTCTCATGTTTCCAAAATTTTTCATCGGCTTTCAACTCTTCTTCAATATAGTATGGCCACTAGGATTAGGAGGCGGCTTCAACTCTGATATAGTCTTAAAACCCTCTTTTGATCTAATAATGTTTGGAGGTTTCAAAGATTATTTAATGTAGTTCTTCTTTTTGTCTGGTGGACCGGCTTTTGGAGCTACAATGAATCCACCACTTCCTTGGTCCATGTGTATCTTTCAGCAGTAGCTGTATCAATCTTTGAGTAACCAGTTGACATGTTCATAGAATAATTCTCTTTTGAAATTTTTACCATCCACTGTATCAATTGATTGGACCATGTGGTAAGTGTTGATTTTTTCTGATGAATTTTTTCATTTGATAAATGTTGAACATGAATTGCTCTTCATTAACCCATAATGTCAATTTTCCTTCTTGGACATCAATAAAAGCCTCTCTGTTGTCAAAGGGCCGACCAAGAATTAATGGTAATTCTTGATCTTTTTCGATATCCAAAACCACAAAGTCCACCAGGAATATGAACTTGTCAACTGTAACCAATATATCTTCAATGACCCCTCTGGGTATGTGATTGATCTATCAGCTAGTTGTAAAGTGATTGTGCTTGGTTTCACTTCTTCAAGGCCCAACTTCTTGAATACAAATAGTAGCATCAAATTGTTGTTAGCTCTCAAGTCATACAATGCCTTATCAAATGTAGAAGTGCCAATTGTGAATGAAATAATGAAGCTATCCGGATCTTTTAGTTTTCGAGGGAGCTTTTTCTAGAGAAGTGAACTATATTCTTCTGTCAGCTTGACTGTCTCAAATTCCACCAGCTTTCTTTTCTTTGACATCACTTCTTTTATGAGCTGGCATAATTCGGCATTTGTGTCAAAACATCAGTGAAAGGAACATTAATGTGGATCTTCTTGAAGATTTCCAAGAATTTGACAAACTGCTCATCAAATATATTCTTCAAGAACCTCTGTGGATAAGGTAGTCGTGGCTTCAAAATAGGAGAATTACTTGGAAATGAGATTGAGTTAGGCTAATAGTTATTCTTAGTTGTCTCTGCCTCGATTTTCTACTATTCAACCAGTTTTTCTTCAACATGATCTAATATAGGTGTAAGAACCACAAAATCTATAGGTTTGCTCTCTTCAAGCTCTTTTTCGCTCCTCAATGTGATGACATTGCAATGCTCCCTTGGTTAACCTCTGTGTCACTGGGAATTTTCCTTTCTGTTGGGAGGTTATTGAAGTTACGAGTTGACCAGTCTGTACTTCTAAATTCTTCATTGTAGCTCCCATGTAAGTCATATGAGTCTCAATATTATCACATCTAGCCTCATCCTTGTTAAATCTCGCCCTTGTCTCTGAAATAAAGGTTGTTGTTAGGTTTTAGTGTTGGCGATTCTGTAGACAAAATGACTAATTGTAATGTATTGTAAAAGTCAAGGACCTATGGTGCAATTTGTAAAAAAATAGTTATGACATCTAGGGTTCAAGAATGAAAAGAAGAGAAACACAGCGCCGCATTCTCGCTAGGTTCTCGCCTAGTTGGCACTCGAGCAGTAAAAGCAGATTGCCTATCACCTGCATGTAGTCAAGCTCTCGCTAAAGCGACAGTACGTCTCTCGCCTGTCACCGCTTCTCGCTCGAGCGACATGTCGATCTAAAAACCATAATTTGTTATTTTGAAGTATTTTTCCAGCTCATTCAACCTAATTACCCTATCACATAAATGTCCAAGCCTATGTACGAATTGTGGGTGATTGTTCATTGTGCTTGTTCTCTAAACACAATCATATTATCCTTTGAAGATCCAAGACCCTATTTATATATTGATTCCATCTTTTCTTCTTGATATCATACAACCACATATTTGGGAAAAATATCAAACCTATTGAATCTGAAACACAACATACTTCCTATGGGCCATAGGAAGGTAGAGGTGTCAATCCGGGTGGGCCGGGTCGGCCTGCCAACATATGAGCCCGGTAACGG